AATACAATTATAATAGGAGATTTTAATATACCTTTTTCAGACTCCAAATCCAACAGACAAAATATATAAATATGAGGGGTCTTCAAGAAGTTCATGGAAGGGGCAGGCCTGTGGCTCACTCGGGAGAGTGTGGTGCTGATAACACCAAGGCCACGGGTTCAGATCCCATATAGGGATGGCCGGTTGGCTCACTGGGTCAGCTTGGTGCTGACAACCCCAAGTCAAGGGTTAAGATCCCCTTACTGGTCATTTAAAAAAAAAAAAAAAGAAGTTCATGGAAGGGGCAGGCCTGTGGCTCACTCGGGAGAGTGTGGTGCTGATAACACCAAGGCCACGGGTTCAGATCCCATATAGGGATGGCCGGTTGGCTCACTGGGTCAGCTTGGTGCTGACAACCCCAAGTCAAGGGTTAAGATCCCCTTACTGGTCATTTAAAAAAAAAAAAAAAAAAAGAAGTTCATGGAAGATTCGTATTATCTTTTAATGCCATTTTCTCACAAATTTTTTGAAGTACCCTTGTAGGACAGAGGAATAGAATAAAACCAACAAATTTGACTTAAAAGATATAGGAACATCACATCCCATAACTATATTCCTTTGTGTTTTAATGAAACATTTACAAAAGTTAATCTTGTCTCTGGTCCCAAAGGCATCTAAGCCAATTTACAAACGTAGAGGTTTTATAAGCCACATTCCCTGATTACAATCTAAAAGCAGGAAGAAAAAAAAAAGGAGTAAATAATGAAAAGGGACAACCCTCCCCCCCCCCAACATACCCATTAGTTACTTGGAAATTAAGAAACAATATTCTAAATAATGCTTCATGAAAATGTAAATAAACCTGAAAGTACCATCAGATCCCTCCTCACCACTGGTCTAGAAAGCAGTGAATCAAGCCTGAGCTGGAAAAGAAGAAAAGCTTTGAATTGGATGAGATATTGAGGTTTTAATTTAGATTGAATTGAACTACATAATATCTAAAAGTGGGACTGTTCTTAGAATCAAAAGTGGCTGAGAAGCCATGGGATCTACCAGAAATGTCATCAAGAGTAAGGAAATGCTTCTGACAGAAAATGTTTGAGGCAAGAATGGGAGAAAACAAAGCTGATTCCTGACTGCACCCTATTAAGCCTGGCCAATTCAATAAGCCTGTCGTTACACTTGTGCTCATTAGTTCTCTTTGTATGTCCTTCACCAGATGAGGAAAAATAAAGCACCAAAATAATTAATGAGAGTAAGACATATAACCCTTTCAATGAAATTAAAAACCATGAGGACATATTGATATATAAATACATGAATAAATTGAAAGTTTGATAAGTGAATATTTACTTAGTCTCAAAGTACTTCCCAAGAAAATATTACTGAGAGAGAACATAACCTTACAGTGGAGAAGACTAAGACACTCTCTTAAACAAATTATCAAATTGGACAACACAAAATCCAAGTCATGTGCCACCTGACAGGTGCCATGACTCTAACACAACATCACTTCTGTAAATTTTTTCCCAAAGTGCATAACTTGAATCTAATAATGAGGAATTGTCAGGCCTTAAAAACTAATGCCACCTTAAGTGACATTACAAGCGGCGCCATTATAGGCCCACAAGGGTGTATTAACGTGGCAGCCTAAAATGGCGCCGGGATGAAGTAGGGTGAGAGTGTCTGCGGGAACTTTGCCTTAGCCCTTATTGGCCAAATACGTACTTCCATGCTCGTGAACACTGCATGATTGCAATAGCTAGGCATTGAGACAAGATGCATACCCTTGACCTTTAAGCTGATAGGATTATGTAAGAAACCTGCCTTCCCCATTTACCTTTAAAAGCAAGTGCTTGTGTGATAATAAATGGAACTGCTTGACAGAACCCCCGCCGCATCTGAGTGTCCATTAACTGGGCTGTTTGGGGCCAGCGGCTGTGCTCACCTCTCTTCACGGCTCTCTTCCCCCGTCTCCTTCCAAAGGGGACAGGAGGGAAAGAGGAATCTGGGCCATTTGCTCGCCCACCAAAAGTCAAGAGGCTAGGGCTGTTCTGGTCGGCTGGTGGCGGACCTGACAAGGAATATTTTCAAACCCCAATTCTACAAAATATATGGCCTATCAACTTCAAAAGAATTCAAGAATGAGAAATGATTTCTAAGTTGAAGGAGAATAAAGAGACACGACAGCTAAAAGAAATGTGTGATTCTAACTGGATGGTTTTTTGCCCTGAAGGATAGTATTAGGAATTATTATTATTATTATTATTCTTGTTGGCAAAATTTACCAGTGGTAACATATGAATATTAATTTCCCAGTTTTGGTGGTTGCATTGTGGTTATGCAGGACAGTGTCTGTGAGGTGATAGAACATCACATGGGCAAATTACTCTTAGAGGGTTCAGGAAAATGAAAGTACTTTATATTGTACTTGCAACTTTTCTGTAAGTTTGACATTGTTTAAAAAATTTTTTTAGGGCCGGCCCGGTGGCGCACTGGATAGTGCGCCGCTTGGGAAGCGCGGCGGCGC